TCAGCGATACGTTGCTGTTGAGCATTGCAAAACAAAAAGGGGGGGGTTGGGTACGGTTTAGGGTTTAGGGTTTAGGGTTTAGGGGGCTGCAAGAATACTTTGGGGTTGCTGTTGGCCACAGGGAGACTTTGGCCATTGAGCGCTGCAAAAATGCTGTGGCTTTGGGCCGGTGGTTGGGCACTGGGAGACTTGGCGGTTAGGCATTGCAAAAACTGAAAGGACACTTGGTGATTAGACACTGCAGGGACACTTGCGGGTTGGGCACTGAAGGGATGCTTGGCGGTTGGGCACTGCAGGGATACTCTGCGGTTGGGCCTTGCAGTCAGGCTCCGGGCGGAGGGCGAGGACAACATAGACGTTAAGATCTAACAACCCCACTGCGAAGGCGGGGAAAACCCTAAATCCCACACTCTAAACCCTATACAAACCCTGAAACCTGAACCCTGTTTGAAACATAAACCTTAAACGCGATATGAAACCTATAAAACCTCAAGCCTAGACCCTACATCCTTAGCCCTAGGCTCTCAATCCTAAACCATAAACCCTCATCCCTAAACCCTAAACCCTCATCCCTAAACCCTTCGTGGCAGCTTTCCCGCGCGGATCGTGTGTGTGTGTCTAGGCATGGGGAGCGCGAGGATTACATGGCCGACAAGGCCTTGGACTGATCAACTTTGGAGACACCGTTTACTGGGACTTAAGTTAGGGTTTAGGGTTTGGGGCTTAGGCGGGTTTAGGAATTAGGCTTTAGGGTATCAAGGTTGTATAATATATATATATATACACATACCCCTACCCCCCCTCTCTCTCTCTCTCTCTCTTTCTCTCTCTGTCTCTATCTCTCTCCTTTTCAAGGGGGTCAAAGTGGGGAAATAAGGGTACACACATACATACATATCTATGCATAAATGTATGTCTTTCTGTGTTTAGTTGTGTACTACTTTAAGTATCTATGTAGACACATCTGGGTTGCTGGAAAATTCGAGGTTGGGTGCTGGAATTCTCTGAAAATAGGGGTGCCCTCAGGATGGACAGGGTTTGCAACGGGCTCATGGGGATCCTCAAGCCCCTCCCCGTAATACTAAAAACACCCAACCACTAATACTCAATATTCCCTATATTATAGTATGCAATCGGAATATTTGATATTAGGGACGCGGGGGGTTTAATATCAGGGGACGGGATTCCAACCGGCCAAGTCTCAGAAACACCCACAGGTAAGCAGGGCGGCGCGGTAGATCGGAATGACTATCGTGGTATACAGAGGCTGTGTTGAGCAGATAGAGCAACCAACCGATTGGAGTGTTTTATACCTGTTGCAAACCTCGATCTCGAGCACCAAAACCACCAGCCCGCAACTGCGTACTAGCAGACCTCCGCGAGCTCAGAGATCAAACGCAGGCAGCAGTTGTTGAAAGTTCCTGTCCCCAGGTTCCCCTTTTGTCTAGGACCCCACCTAAAGGAAGTGTGTTTCCAATGGCCTCTCCTTTACTCAAAGGATTTTTAGAACAACTAGCATTGTTGCAGGTCATTTCCCGTGGCGTCAGGGCTCCAAGTGATAGAATGTAAGGATTGAAGTGGTTACATAGGGATTAAATGGAGGAGTATATGTAGGGATTAAATGATATGGGGCTTCAGGTTAGAATAGTGGCGAATCGGATAGAAAAGAAAATGGAGAAGCCTGAGTGTACAATTGCAAGGATTTCTAGGGATGATTCTCCATGTTCTGGGCTAGATTCCTTGTATAATTGTGGTATAGGGTACTTCAAATAGACCTCACTGAAATGACATTGGTAAACAGTTCGGCTTGAGCCCAGTGAAAGTACCAAGTCAGCATAAACCGTAACAAATCCCATTAAGAAATCCCACAGGAAGAGCCCGCAAATCCCCCAAAATCTCTACATATCCTTAGAGCTTCTAGGGACCCCTAAACCCTAATCCCCAAACCCGTATCCTGAAACCCGAAGCCTTAAATCTTGAGCTTCAACTCGAATCCCCAAACCTGAAACCCTAATCCCCAAGCCCTGAACCCTAAACCTCAATCCCTAAACTGGCCCTAAACCCTATACCCCATTCCCAAGGCCGGCAAAGGTTCCGAGTGGATTGCCAATGCTGCGCGGCCGTGGGACCCGCCTTTGGCAGACACCAGGTCAAGTTTAGCAAAGGTAGGGGTCCCTTTGTGGGGGACAGTGACAGGGGTTCTAGGGTTTTGGTTTGGATCGTCAGGGGATGTATAGGGCTACACAGGAGTTTCGCCAAAGTAGTGGCATATCTCAATGCTACCGCTGCAGTGAGGTTGCCCACGCAATTCCCTGTTGCCCTCCAGGCTATCTGCATGTGCAAAAGCAGTACTGTTGGAATGGGCAAGACATGGGACACAAGCCCCATTGCAGCGAGACGTATGTGCGCCCGGAAACAAATTGAAGATCGATCCCTGACGTTTGTTTGAGCCGACAAGCTTTGAATCAATCATTCCAAGCCAAAGGCCAACGGACGCCAGCAAGCTCAAGCGGCAGCAAAGCGACTCCGCGAGGTGCAGACAGAGAGGGGCGGGAGAGAGAGAGAGGTAGGCATTTTGGGCTTGATGCGCATGCTCACCCCGAAAAGCTTAGCATTACATAGGAAAGGTGTAGGGTTTTGAACGCCATTTAGGGTTTAAATGCTCCGCTCTGGAAGTTGGAAATGCGTGGCTTTGGAATTGCCGGGGTCTAATGACAAGAATAGGTTTTCGAGTGTGATTTGCGATCACTATCTCAGAAGGGGACGGGATGATATCTCCAATTCTTCCAGGCCACGACAGAATTCAGATTCTCTCTTGTGGCAAGGCCTTGATTATTTGTCGGTCCGCGAAACCGTGAGCCCCAAAGCCCTAATCCCTTGAACCCTAGACTCTAGACCCCAGAAACCCAAACCATGAACCCTTGTTTGACAGGCTTCCTGACGTAAGTAAGCCACTCCGTGGCGCTCTCTTTCGAGACGCTGAGGTAAGATCAGGTGCTTTGGGAAATTTTCAGCGGGGCTCTTATCTGTGTTCTTTTGCATAGTATTTACTTTTGACGCCTGGGCAGTCCTAAACCTTAAACCTTTAACAGCGAGCTACATAGGAGATCCCTTGAACCCTGGGCTGGTGACAAACGCCCAGCTCTTGTGTTGGACTTGGAATGCCCCTTCCATCCTCGAGACGTACTGGTTCTAGCTAGGGAACAATGGAATATAATTCCTACATAACCCCTGCACAATTTCTCCCCTGATTCCCTGCTCCACCCCAGCAAGGAGACCTAGTAGCTAAGTAGATAGATAGCCATTAGCCTGTTGGGGCTTGTAGACATTCATTAGGACAAAATGCCAAACCTTCTGCGTTCCAGGAAGCTCAGTCACTAAGAAGAAGTCTCTTGCAAACCTCGCTTCTCAGAAACGCTTCTCAAGCCTTAGTTTGGGTTGCTGTTGAGGAACTTGAGTTTAAGCTACCCCTTGTAGTAGGGATATATAGGGTTTAGGGCTTTGGGTCCGCTGACTACCCGCAGATGAGGGACTCCCAGTCAGAGTGGCCAATACTAATATACTACTACATAATATGGGGTATATTACGTAAATGTAGGGATAATGGAAAAGAAAATGGAAACTACTATAGTATAATACATGAAATCGCCCCGAAGTTGAAGGAACCCATCTGATTGCAGGTGCTGTCGTCATCAGGCATACCGATGCCTACCCAGATATTCTGTTCACCCCTGGTGCGCTGCGTGGAGACTGCGAACTTCGTGGCGGAAGAGTTCCTTTGGCGTTGTGTTGAACAAGCTTGTGGGGAAGGATATACGATATATACATCCATGACAGGTATGGTCATAATCTGGGGGGCTTTATGTTAACGTATCCCATAACTGCTGTGGAGAGGCCGCAGTGTAGGGCCCCATCGTTTTGGATGAAGCATGTTGAAACCTGAAACCATGTCATAGCCTCTTTAGGATTGCTTTACCGTTGCAAGCCTTGAAGTTCTAATGACCTTTGGGTCAGCCACTGCGGATTAGTTTTTAGTCCAACGCCCAATACTAGGCAAAATTGGGAATCACCTGATTCCGGGCTTCAAGACTTGATACCTTCCCCCGTCTGCCTCCCTCCTGCAGTTTTATAGCCCCCCTGAAGTAGATAGAATATGGGTATATGGGGATCTTATCATGACATTGGGAGAGTCCATTTTCTATCTACTTAAGGGGGACTATAACTCCAAGGTTTGGAGTGGACTCGCTGCAAGTTGAGGCACATGTTTGAGCCCGCAGGATTTGCGCTATTCGTCACAGGGCAGTGCATGTTTTGAGAGGGATACGAGTGTAGCACTAAGTCGCCGTTACCTGACGCCAAAGGGCTTCTAGAGTCTAGAGTCTGCAGAGGTCCTGCCACGCCTATTTTTACACTTCTCCATCTACTCCGCCTAGACGACTAGAAGCTTTCCATACTTTGGATCGCCTGCTGGGACATGCTGCCACCAACGTGTCAAGCTCGAAGACATAGCTGGAAAAGCATGGGCGTCAGCCCTCCTAAGACTCCCTGCGTTTGCTTTGCCCGTCCAGTCGCTATTGCAGAGCAGAGTTGACCAAGGTAGGTAGGGCAAGCATGGTTGGGAAAAAAGAACATGAGAGCTGGACTTTGCGAGCTTGGATTGTGCGGCGACACATGCAAAGGCCCCGGAATCAACATAAGAACCCTCTAACCCATCAAAATGGAGCTATTGGGTGAGGCAGGACCTATAAGGGGATGACCTTCCTCATCATGCTCCTTTTCTCACATAGAAGGACTACAGATCAATAGTCTTTCGAGTGCATGCCAGGGGGTGGGCATAAGAGAGCCTGCAAATTTGTGTAAGATTGCAGTTTTTGGTTTGGTTATAATACAGAACCCGCTCGGAACAAAATGGCCTCACTTGGTTCAACCCACCCAAAAACTCACTGATTCCTTCAGCTGCCCTGAAGAATGGACTTGCCGAGTCCATCTACGAAGCTTGGATGAGGCCAGAGCGGTTTTACGTGGTTGGAAGTCAAGCCCCTTCCCCTTGCTGTAGCTACATGAGCCATAGTCTAAACTCCTAGGGTTTAGGGTTTTAGGGTTTAGGGTTTAGGGTGGAGATATGAGCTATAGTCTAAA